TTTTTTTTTTTTTTTTTTTTTTTGGGAGGCTTGTGGAAATGAATGTGAAAAGGTCTTCCAGAAATAACACGAGGTGGTCTACAGACTTGCATCCAGATTTTTGAGTGCATAATGTATTTTTCTATGTGTTTTGCTACAACAGCAATTACTTGTCCATGTTTGATTTACTTCTCGCCCTTCTCAGGCTTGTAAAAAAACAACATTTCAACCCAGTGGTGGTAAACCCCCCACCTTCCTTCAATCCAGGTGAAATCTGTGCTGTTTAACACTGAGATTGTGATAGCATCCAGATGCTCCTGCCCGGACTGCATTGTTTTTGGAAACGTGCAGCCGTATGGGAGGGACAGCTTTATAGCCTCGTGGTGAGAGTAAGCCCAGGCAAAAGGGCTCTGACCTGCTGGCTTCGGTTGTGGTGTGGAAACCCACTGCCGCATAGGGCCCGTGTTATGTACTTGTTTTGGAAATGAGAAACCCTCAGACTTTTACATTCCTTGGGTGTTTTCTTCTTTTAGGTCAGATATTTTCAGTTCTGGTAGTTTACGTTCTTTCTTATACCCTGCTCCGTTTCTCAATCCTGTTTTCTACCGGGGTGTTTGGCTGAAGTACCAATAGAGCCAACTTCTATGTAATGCACAAACTGGAAGAGGAATCGTGGTTAATGCAGCTCCTGGGCAGCGAGCCTGGATTTGGCTCTGCGGGAGCCGCGGTGAGGCCTGGAGCCAGGTAAAAGCATCTGTGTGGTGCCTCGCAGGTGGGCGAAGGCTCCCTTTGAGCACCCTGCAGTGCAGGCTCAGCTCAGGGTGATCCTGTACCACCTCGGACAACCAGTGGCGTGGCTGTTACAGGCCTTTTATTAGACCGTGTGGGGCCATATTCCTATTTTAAGTGGCGATACTAAAGCTTCAGAGGGTTTGAGGTAGGGTAAATTAAAACCTCCATTGTTTGACTTAATTTAGTTTTCTAAATGATGCAGAGCGACACTGAGATTGGCTCTGGGGGGAGATCACGCCCTCTGGAGAAGCTGCAAACTATTCTCTGGCCGCAGTGTGAGCCCTTGGGTTTGCAGGGAGGGTGGCTGTGTCCTCACCTCTCAACCAGCTCCGCTTCATCCTGGAAAATACTGCAAAGTGCCTGTATCACTCGGTGCCGGGTACCCAGCCCCAAGTCGCCTACCCCACTCTTGGGAGGCTTTTGGTGCTTTTTCTGACCGCTCAGTCTCCTCTTTCAGCCTGGATTAAGAAAGCAGCTCTTTGGGTGCTGCAGAGGAAGGTGCTTACGCATCAGCTGTGCCTTACTAAGCAGTAAATTTGCCCCCCCCCCAATAAAAGTGAAGCAGTAGGGATATGCGGTGGCAACGGCATCGTGGAGCTTGGTACCTTCCACCCTCAGCGTCCCTGGGGTGGAGGGAGCTCCGCCTGCCTGATGGCAGTTTTTCCTTCTCCCGCTGTCCTCTGCTGCGTGGTAATCCTGTCGATCCCTGTGGGATGGGCGAGCTGCGAGCTGCTCTTGCAAATACCGTTGCGCTGTGTTTGTCTGCTGAACGTGGAGGAGATCCCCCGCCCCGACGAGGTGTGTTAGAAAGGAGCAGCTCCTGCGAGCACGGCCAGATGCCGTGAGTTTTCCTGTTGCCTTTCACTACGGAAAGACACCTCCCGGGAAGCTCTCGGGACCGGAGGTCTTCCGGCACTTGCTGTTATTTTTGGTTGCCAAATTTCCGGTGCTGGGCTGGAACGGTTTGGAAGTTACTCTGATCGTGTCCCGTCAGTCTCCTAACGGGGCCGTTTGGAGAAGCATCTGTGACTTGCCTTTTGAGTCCTGCCTTTACGCTTGTAGGATGAGGTCTGAACCCTTGTAATTAGTCTGTAACGTTACGATTAGAGTGTACAGAATTATTTATTTTGTGTACTCGGTCTGCTAAACATGTAAATGTATTCTGTGTACCCCACTGCTCTGCTGTCGTTACTTCTGGTTCATGGATGGTGCGTGGGCTCTGCCGAAAGGCGCTGCTTTCTGGGCTGTGAGCGATGGTCAGTAAACGCCTCGAAAGCCAGGAGCTGCTCACCCCTCTAATTCCTTCTTGGAGCACAGCAAGAAAGTACCGAAGTGCCCCTAAAAGAGTTTGCTGGTTTTGTTTAAGGCAGCTGCCAGCCCGGGAGCTGCCAGAGGGAGACCTTGTGTGGGGCCGGGATGTCCACGGGATGCTCAGGGTGAGTTGGACACTCAGCCTCTCACTGGAGGGCAGGGTTTGGAGGCTGAACGGGCACTTGGGAACACTTTGTTCGCTTTTCTTTGGCTGCAAGGCAGCAAACGGGGCCAGAGAAATACCCTGCTTTGCCCACAGCAACTCCTCACCTCTCTGGTTTCACTCTGAGCAGCTTCTACGGGTGAACAGGAAAACCTGTAACACCGAGTGAAGAATGCACACCCCTTTTGAACCATGTCCTGCTGGAAGGGAGGGGATTTTTTCAGGGGCAAGGGACCCCATCCCGGCAGCGGCAGGGGGGACGGTGACCTGAACACATGGAGCGAATGACCCATAGCACTGCGGTTGATCAATTCCTGTTTGAAGCTCCACATGGCCACCGCTTCCTTCTGCCTTTATGGCCCATCCCCACATCTCTGACGTTCAACTACCTTCAAGGTTATTTAGGACCTAGCTAAAGCCGAAAAAGAATACGCTGCTTTCGGGAGATCGGTCTTATTTCAGGTACCATGGAGCGAAAGCACACTCTAAATGTCAAGGCAGACCGGTGGGACTGGTATGTACCTTGTGCAGCTGCTCCCACCGGCCTTAGGGGAGATCTGCGAGGAGCTCAGCCCCCGTGCCCTTGTCCCCGGCGAGGTTTTCCGAGGCAAAGGAGTCTGAGCCAGCAGCTTCATGGGTTTCTCTGCAAGCCCCCGTTCCCCCACCTCAGTTTGCTCCCGTTTCTCTTGCTCCCAGCAGAGCAGACCGCTAAATGAAGCTCAGTTTTATCCAACCAAACTAAAACTTGTCAGCCCTGGGCTGTATTTGGGCAGCTTTTGAGGTTTTTAAACTCAAACATATGGGCCAGACTATATGTCTTTATGCTCTGCTCGTGGTCTATAACCCTTCCCGTGGGGGTGTCTCTGCGTAGCATCGTGCTGTCTCTGCCACTGCTTGACAGGAGAGTGATCGCAACGTTTTGGGGGCTGGGATTCACACAGCAAAAGGTTTATGTTGCATTCACATTACTGGTGAAGAAAAAAAAACCCACCCCGTGCCTGGTGTTGGGACAGTCTGATCCTGCTCCTTTCCATGCTGTCCTTGTGACCCGCTCTGTTTGGAGCTGCCAGGAACCAGGTTTTAATTCATTGACCACGTGTGAACACAGAACTTATGGTTTTTGCACCTGCTGTTGGCTGGAGAACCTGTTTGAGTGGAAGTGCTGCTTTCTGCTGAAAACCTGTCGCCTGACCTTGAATTTTTTTTTTTTTTTTTCTCGGCTTCAAATTTTCCTTTGGGATGGCCTTCAGTTTCCCACTCTGTTACCGGGCAAACCTGCGCCTGTGAAGCAGGTGCTGGTCTCCAGCTGCCCCCTCCCACCTTTCTGAAGAGCTGGAGCTGCCGGTGGCATTTCTCCCTTCCAGCTCTGCTGTCGCACAAGTTACCGCTTTAAACTGCAGGCAGGGATCTTTTAAGATCTTGTGGACCCGCCAGCACCCCCCTCCCCTCCATCGCTTGCTCGTGCTGAGCCTGGTGAGCTCCACGATCCCTTCCCTGGAGGAGCTGATTCTGTTTGGGACCCACTGGTGCTGGAGAACTCTCCCCTGGGTTGGTGGCAAAGCCGTTACAGGTAACATCACCCACCCTCACCGCTGCGGCAGTCTGGGCTGGTGCCAAGGTGTAGATCCCTGTGCTTGAAGACTCCCTCAGCAGCCCTGGAGCCGCAGCGAGCCCTGCTCCCCCTCTGCCTGCGCATCGTGTCCTGCCTTCTGCACCGCTCCGGCTCTGGGAGGTGCCGGCGTTCCAGAGAGGAGGAGCACGGGGTGCCCCAGGTGTCCCCCCTGCGCCTTCCACCCCCGGTCGGCATCACGAGAGGAAAGGAGCCAGAGGCAGCGCTTGGCACAAGCGAATGCTGACACTTTATTCCGCGGTGGGGTCCCTTGCTTCCAGCTCAGCCCCCCGCCGGCTCTGCCGAGCTCACCGTGCCGGCAGCAGCGCCCAGCGAAGGGATCCCTCCGGCACTGCCTCTAGCCCTGAGATATAACGTAGTTGATCCAGTTTCGGAACTGGCTTACGCGGGTGTAGATGGCGGGCGTGCGGACGTTGCAGTTGCTGTTCCCCCAGGAGACAATGCCGATCAAGGTCCAGCCATTCCCGCTCTGATATACCAGAGGTCCACCAGAGTCACCCTGCAGAGAGGACACCTTAGTGGTCCCGGCATGTGCTCCAAACTGGTCCCTGCTCACCAGGTTCCCTGGACACGGCCAGGTGCTACAGCTTAAATCTCCAGCTCCATAGAGGCAAGACTCCCTGTGTCCTCCTCCTCCTCCTCTTCCACCCTCCCTGGGGTGCAGTAGGACCTCGGCTCCTTACCTGGCAGGAGGAGGCGCCGACCCCACCGGCACAGAGCATGGAGCTGGTGATCCGGTTGCCCCAGTACTGCATGCACTGGCTCGGGGAGATCAAGGGCAGGACTACCTGCTGCAGGCGCGCCGCCATGGCTTGGGCTAGGGGAAAAGAAACACCATTAAATCACCCCAGTGCCGGCAGGTCTCCCAGAACTTTTGGGAGCCCACGGGCACTCTGGGCAAGCTCCCGCTGGTGCTCCCAAACACATGGGTGATGCCATGCAAAGCCGTGCCGACGTACCCCGTCTTTCCTGGGCGGGATTGTCTTGTGCCAGCAGCCCCGAGCAAGGGTGAGCTTGTGCCCATGCTTGCACCAACACATGCTTGTGTGCCGACAGTCACTCAACTGCACACGAGTTGTCACCCCCTCCCTGGGCACCCCCAGACCCTGCAGAGTACCCCCCAGGAAGGACAGTGGCCACCCGCAGCCCTCCCTGAAGCTGCCGCATACGTACAGTTGGTGTTGACGCGTCCCCAGCCAGTGGTGACGCACTGGAGGTTGGCGGGCAGAGCCAGGTTGGCGGGAGCCAGGCAGATGGGGGACACGCGGGCTCCCAGCCGGGCGGGCGAGGAGAGCCTCAGCAGGGTGATGTCGTTGTTGAGGGTATTGGGGTCCCAGTAGGGGTTTGTGATGGCCTGCCAAAAAAGAAAAATACCGCAGTGCTTCATCCCCACCCTTGGGGAGCAGGCACCGCACAGAGCTGCAGCCCTGTCCCAGCATTGCCACCGTGTCAGCCCGACTCACCCTGGCCACGGTCCTCACTTGAACGGACTCTGCGCTGGAGGTGAGGTCAAATTCCCCGAGGACGACGACGTGGGCGTAGGGGCTGCGAGAGGTAAGGGAGTCAGGGGGATGCGCAGAAGCCAGCACCCGGGGTGGGAGCAGCCATGGGGCACCGTGTGCCCAAGGGAGGACAGCTGGGATGGAGTCCCGGGCGGCTCAGTCCCTTGGGTGCTGGCTTTTGGGGCTGTCCCAAGCACTGTTTGGCGATGCCCAGTGCGCCCTGAGCCCCTGCTGGGTGGCACGGCCGCGGGCGGACCGGGCATCGCTCCTCACTTGAATTGGCAGTGAGCAGCTGTGACGACCCATTCCTCGTTGATCAAGGAGCCGCCGCAGAAGTGGCTTCCTGAGCGGGTCTGGGGAGCAAAGAGGGAGGAAGAGCCGGGGCTGGGCGGGCTGAGCTGTCCCCCAAAGCTGGGGACAGGTAGAGGGTGTCACGGGTCCCCTTGGGGCCTGCCCACCGTCCAACCCCGACACGCGGTGCTGTGCCACTGTGGCGTTTAGGGCACCGACTGTCCCTGCCCAGGGAGGGGGACGGTGCCATACCTGCAGGGACACCTGCCAGGGCCATGAGCCAGGCACCGCCGTCTGCCCGTTGATGATCTTCTCGTTGTAGTGCACCAAGGGGCTGATGGCGGGCTCCCCGCAGCCTGTGGGAGAGGCAGAGGGGCACAAGGGTGACCTCAAAAGCTTAGAGCTACCCGCACTGGTGCGGGTGGCTCTGTGTCACCATCCCCGGCATGTCCTGGTCCTGCTGCACCCCGAGGACCTCCCTCCACCTGTGGGCAGCGCTTACCTGAGACGGTGCTGGCAAGGGCCAGGCAGGCAAGTGCCCACAGAAACGCCATCCTGGCAGGACAGCGCCGTGCCCCGGGGCCCCAAGCTTTATAGCAGCCGGGAGCCGTGTGGCTCGTAGCCAGGCAGGGCAAGGTCCCCCTGCTGCCTTCTGTCAGCTGTGGGCAGCGGTGACGGGCCAAACCTGGCACCTATCTTGCCCCCCCAACAAGCGGGGATGTGGGAACGTGCTGCCGAAAGGCACCCTGGGGCTCTTGGGCTATCGCTGTAACGAGTTGTGTCAATTCTTGCTGCAGCCTGTGGTGCGGCAGAGGTGGAGACCACCGTAGGGCTACGATGTGGGGCACAGGGGCCTGCTTGTGGGCACACAGCTGGGGCTGGACATGCTGGAACGGGCACCAGTGCCTGGGGTGCAGGAGGTCACCCCGTCCCCAGGGCAGTTTCAGATCTGTTGGTAGTGGGGCTGTTCTCCCGTGTGGCTGTGAAGCCCTGACCGGGGACAGTGCCAGACCCAGCTGGACGTTCCCAGGGCCCAGGGTCACACCTTGGACCTCGACCCTGCTGCAGGTGAGCGTGTCCCAGAGCCAGCTGGGGCAGGTGGGGACGGCAGACCCCTTCCCAGGCAGGTGGGAGCTGTGGCCAGTGTGGTGAGCGCTCTGTGAGCCCCAGGGAGGACAGTGGCCACCTCCCGAGCTGAGCCTGACCCCTCCACCTGAGCATCCCCCCACCACTGCAGCTGCCTGACCCCTCACCCCAGGGCTGCACGCTGGGGAATAGCGTAGTGCTCCCCACCTCAAGTCCCCCCGTCACCATCCTGGACATGCAGAGGGGGAACATAGTGTTTCCACCAACCCCCATGTCCCTGGGTGATGCTCCTGGAGTGGCAATGGGTGCAGGCAGCCATCCCCAGGGGTGATGCGGAGCACAAGGATGGATCCCCACCCCACCGCACCACCCGCATGCCCTCAGTCTTGCCCTGACCTGGTGGAGAGCAGAGCCTGGACGCTGGTGCGTGATTGCAGAGCTCAGGCCTTTATTTCTGGCAGTGGTGCCGCGCGAGGACAGCGGGATCAGACCTGCCACAAGGCAGGAAGCGCGGCAGAGCATGAGGGTCTCCCAGGGGGCTACAGGGGCTGGGCACAAGGATGCAGGGACAGAGACAGGCTTCGCTCCTGATCTTTGCATGGAGATGATCAAGGGCTGGACAGCAGCAGAGGACGGAGGCAGACCCAGCGCCCACAGTGCTGCTACCCATCCTGGAGGAAGGTGGGCCAGGAGGATGCTCGAGGTGCCAGACACAACTCAGTTCATGCTCTTCAAAAGGCTGGAGAGTCTCGTACTCCAGTCCTGGCTTGGATGCTGGCAAGAGAGCCGGGGCCAGGAGTTGGCCAGGTCAGCAGAAACGCAGAGCTGTTCCTTCATGCCGGCAGGGACAGGGTTAACAGCACTACCCAGGGTGGCGAGACCCCCTTGTGCCCTTCTCTGTAGCCATGAGCCATGATGAGCTGGCTGAGCCGTCCTCCACCATCCATGCTGGTGGAGCAGCAACACCAGCCCTCTGGGTGAGCCAAACCAGAGGAAGACCTTCCATGGCTAAAACCCTCCGACAAGCCTGGGTGTAGCAGGGCTCCAGTCTGCCTTGGTTCTGGGGTGATACCAGACTCCATGGCCAGGACACGCTGGCTCAGAAAGCTGTCTGGATACTCAGGGAAACCCAAATATCTCTGTAGCCCCATGGAGACATGGACTCACCCCAGCTGCAGACTCCTGTCCTTTGCTCTGCTGCTCCTCTTTCTCCTGCAGGCAGTAGACTAGACCTGAGCAGACCTCAGCCAGCAGAATAGCTATGGGTTGACTTTTTCTCCTGCAGCTGGTGCTTGCAGGGGACAGTCGGCTCAGCGAGGCAGGCCTAGAGGAGGACGGCACGTATCCAGACTGTCCCCAGCACAGGGCAACGTGCTGTGCGTGGGGCATGCCCTGTCTCATCTCCGTTCTCCCCACACGCAGCCTCAGAGACGTCCCGCGTGGTCCGTGGGGGCAGCGGGGAGCAGGCCATGGGGCTCAGCGTCAGGCACACTTGCCCTTGCGAAGGCAGAAGGGCAGCTCCGGCGCGGGGACCAGGATGGTGCTGAAGATGGGCCGGTAGTTCTCAGGCAGGACCTGGGGGTGCTGTGCCATCATTTCCAGCACCATGTGCCGCACCTCCTTGGAGACGTCACCCCGCAGATCCAGCAAGGTGGAGACGTGCTCATCGCTGGGCAGAGAGCAAGAGGTGAGTCCGGACGCTGCTGACACTGACCACAGTGCTCCTGTCCTGCCAACCTCCTATGATCCAGCAAAGCTGAGCTGAGGCGAGGGGAGAGCTAGTACTTTGCACCAGCCCAACCTTAAAATTTGCTTGAAAATAACCCCACAAACCTTGTGAATTTGGTTTTGATATTTCACGGGTTTCATCTGGTTCTGACCTTTCCGATTTGGCAGTTTGTGATTTCTCACACTTTGTTTGGCCACCAAATACAGACAGGTGAATGCCACAGCAGAACTGCTTTTTCCTTTACATCTTTGCCCTTGGGACTTTGCAAAAACCCCTCAAATCTGGAGCATGGGAAAAGGAAACCTCAGGGAGGAGGGGGAAAGCGCCTGGGTTTCCGCCTGCTCTGCAGCGTAACCTCGCAGAGTCCAGCCCAAGCCTGGCTCCCCTGGGCAGACTCACGCCTACCCTGCCTCGCAGGAGAGCCGAGCTGGGTTTCTTACCTGACGTCGGGGTACTTGGTGATGAAGCCCAGCACCTCCAGGCTGAGTAGTGCTGGGTCTTTGAGGCTGATCAGCTCCCGCAGGGCAAACACGGCCTCCAGGCTCTGCTGGCTCCCATCCAGACCCTGGGAGGGACAGCGGCCACGTGTGAGACCGGGAGGAGGCCACCACGGTGGGTGGTGAGCTGCAGCCTGGTCCTCAGTGCCCATGTGGGGACCTGGCCCCTCGTGGCTGGTGTCTCCCCACTCAGTGTGTCCCATCCATCGGGGCTGGCTCACCCCAAGGCAAGACGAAGCTGTGCAGCCTCACCCACCCGTGCTAGGTGGTCCCATGAGTCCCTAATCCAGCCAGTTCTGCCCATCTTGGCCTCGCAACCACCCTAGTGTAACAGCCACTTCTTGGGCTGATGTACCCACACCATCTGCCGTGGGCTGGAGGGGAGCAGGAGGGTGATGGAGATGAGCTATGAGCTCCTTGCACCGACCTTGCTGTGCGATGCTCCCCTCCCGTGGCCCAGCCCCGGCTCCCTGCCACACGTGGGCACCACTCACCAAGCTACAGAAGAGCTCCCGGAGCTGTGTGGCATCCTGCAGCAGGCGGTCGCAGAGCTGGCTCCGCTCCTCCTCGCTCTTGCACACCATTTTCTTCTGCATGAGGGCCCGCAGGTACTGGCTGGCCACGAGGAGCTCGCTCTCCGTCAGCAGGAGCTGGGCAAGGGAGAGGTGTTAGCACTGGGCATCACCTGGGTGTCAAACCCCAATTGCCCAGGCAAAGGGGCTGGATGCAACACCAAGTCACAGGGACAACATGCCGGGAAGCCTTCTGGCCGGAGGGACAGAGAAAGTAGCTGAATTTGGGGGTAATTCTGAATTCAGTGTGGTGGTGCCCTCTGGGCTGCTCCAGAGGATACGGGCTCTCTGGCAAACCCAGCAGCTACTGCATCCTGCATGCAACTGCCCAACTTCCTTGCCCTACAGACAAGCAGCTATTTGAAGCACACCTCGCAGGAACCGTACCGTGAAGATGGGTTTCCTGACGCGGGAAAAGTCCTTTGCATACTTGTCAATCACTTCACACATGCTGCTGACGAGCTGGGACCCGGAGAGCCACTTGCGGGACGGCAGCTGCAGGCAGAGGGGCTGAAAGAAGCAGAGGAGCAGCGTACGGTGCCCTGCATTGCATCGCTCTCGCCGCAGCTGCCAGCTGTGGGGTGGCACGACATCCCACGGCCGCTGCCTGCCTGCTGCCTGGCAGCACGGCTGCTTTGCCTTGCAAAAACCACAAGCTCCCGCTGCCAGCTCAAAGTCAACATAAAAACAGAAGAGTGGTTTAGATTAGGAAATTATGGAACTACACTGGGGCCGCCCCTCCCCGACACCCAGAGATCCACATTTTGGGGCTTTATCTGGGTCACGATGCCGCATCGTGGGCAGCAAGCTGCTCCTCACACACACGCTTTTGGCCTGTCCTGCTGTGATTTTATTTTTAATTTCCACTCCTCTCCGCTTCCCTTGTGTAGACATAACATGTTTTTGGCCGTGGGCTTTGACCTCCTCCTCCCCTGCTGTCCTTGCCCATCTTCTGCCTGCAGGCAGACATTCCCTCCATGTCTCCACCATGGCCATGGCAGTCTCCAAGCTGCCCGCGAGCGTTTCATCCTTTAGCTGCTCTTTTGTTTTCGTGGCATTCAAGCCCTAAATAGCAATGCTGTTAATTATTCCAGATTTTTGGTCCAGACTCCAGGAAAGCTAAATTTGACTACGCTGGCAGGAAATGACTCGGGCAGTTGCACATGGGCTTGTATCCTCTGCGCGGACACTGCCTCTCTCCTGTTGGTTTTCTGCCACGAAAGAGCCATAAAAAGGAGGGCGAGGCAGCCTGGGGGGGCTGTGGCTCCCGCTCTTTGTCGGTTAGTGGTTTGGGGGCCACAAGCCATCTGCCCCAGCGATACAGGGCAGTGCTGGCTGGTGACAGACATCGCATGAACTGCAGGCGGTTTATCAAGGTCTGGGAGCCAGGCTGGCAGAGACGTCTGCAGGATGATAGCAGGCCACGGGGTATGTGGCGGGGATCCTGGGCAGGAATAAACCTGTGCCTGTAGCAGTAGTGCTGGTCTTGCTGGGGCCGGGTTCGTTGCAGCCCTGCCAGCCTCAGGGGCTGTGGACAAACGTACCTGCAGGTCCAGGAGCAGCTCCTCCAGCAGCAGCTGGCAGGCTTTCTTCTGCGTCCTGTCTAGAGCAGCCCGGAGGGATGCGGGGACTTCTCTGCGGGCAGCGTCAGGGTGCAGGGAGGAGACAGAGGAGCTAGGAGACAGAGAAGGGAGGGGACAGGTAGCCCGGGAAGCATGGTGGGGACAGGGAGTGAGCAGTGGAGTTCCTACAAGACCTACACGGTGCTGGTGCGTGTTACCTGAGAGCCAGGTTGTTGTTGAGCATGGCCAGCAGGTAGGAGACGTAGTACTTGGGTACGGTACGGTCCTTCTGGTGCTCCTTCCCGCATTGCACTAGGGCTTCCCGCAGACTGCAACACAGTGAGTCAACCATGAAGGGCGGGCAGAGCCCTGGATGTCTCGCCACAAGGACCTGGAATGCTCTTGAGGGCACCTGGATCTCCCACAACCCTCCCAGCTCACTTGGCTCTTTCCAGCTCCTGCCACCAGGTTAGAGAGTGAGAGGTTGTTGGGTAGGGTGGGACAGTGGGACCTGTTCTAGATCCCTCAGGAGAGCAGGGCGCTACTGGAGAGGTGCTCAGAGCAGCAAGCCCTGGGAGCTGATGGCCCCACGGGCTGAGACAGTAGCCCCATGGGTAGACAGCCATCTGGGACCTGGATGAACACTGGGTGCCCCATGGCAGAGATCTCCACCATCAGCCTATGGTGCTTGGCCATGGGATCCATGGTCTTTGATGACGGACAGGGGTGCAAGGGGCTTCACTGACCGACCCAGAAACGCCTCGAGCTCCTCCAAGGCCATGTTGTAGACCTTCTGTTGCAGAGAGTCCGTGATCAAGGAGGCTACCTGGATGTTCTCATTCAGCATCTGCACAGGGAGAGGAGAGGGGAGGTGAGTCAGTGGGAGGCTGGAGGCCACAGCCACCTCTTTGGGGGCTCTCAGCATGGCTGTGCCCCATGGTGCTGGGGACCCACCTGCATGACAATGACAGGCAGGGCTGACTGGAAGAAGCCCTGATGGTCTGTCTCAGGTTCCTCTTCCCTGAACCACTCCTTGAACTCCACCTCCAGAGTCCTCTGCATCCACTCAAGCACACTAGCCTGTGGGATGGACGCCCACCACGGTCAGCCCAAGAAATCAGGTACCAGGTCCCTTGAGACCCAACACATAGCACAGCAGCGAGTCCTGGGCCTTATCCCACAGGCTCAAGGTCTCCTGCTGCTGTCAGAGCAGATAGTGGCTCAGTGGTGGTCGCTGGGCCCCCGTACCCATTGCATGTGGGCTCTCCCACTCGCTCACCTTGACTTTCACCACGTATTTTCTCTCTGTCTGATCCACAAGCTCAGGGGACATCAAGGGGCCCAGAGCAGAAACGTCTACTTCTGGGAGAAGGTCAGGGTGACCCATCATCTCTGGACTGGAGAGCAGAGGTGGGACAGGGCTGGGAAGACCTGTGTTTTCCAGCAGTTCCTACCTCCCCTCTGCCCTCCCAGTGCTCATCCCCAGGCAGCTGGAGCCACTCTCCCAAGCCACCCATGTGCTGGTGGACAACCCAGCTCTCCATAACCTCCCCTGCTTGGTTGGTGCTGACCTGTGGTACACACGAAGTGCCCACTCAAGGAGGAGAAAGAGCGCCTGTTTGTCCAGGTCCTCTCGGAGGATATCCTGGAAGTGGCTGGTGAGAGCCTGGTGGTATGTGGCAGTGCAGACGCTGAGGATGTTGTAGTGAGCCGGGACGCACTGGACCATGAGGTCCTTCACCACACGCAGCTCAGACACGATGTCCTTCTGCAGCGCTGCCAGGTGCCTGGCCAGCCCTGGCCCTTCAGCGTCCGTGCGGGTGGCATGAAAATGGGCTCCTGTGATTGTCTCCCGGAGAACCTGGTAAAATTTCTGCTTCCAGCCTTTTGGACGGCCAGGGGGCAGGTAGGCAGCTTCCAAGAGCAGAGTATCATCTATTTTTTCCTCCCGCTCGATGATCCTTACAGCGGTGACAAAGAGAACTGGGTCCTCGCGCACCAGCCGCAGGCTGCTGCCCACAATGTCCCACAGCTGCTTGGCCAGGCTCTCGTTGAGCTCCTGCAGGCCGCCAAAGTAGGACAGCACAGTTGTCTGGGCACTGGAGAGCCCGCGGAGGTGCAGCTGGGAGAGGATGTCATCCCGGAGGTGCTCCATCATCATGAGCTCTGCATGGGCCTCCAGGAGGTGCTGCCCGTGGAGCAGCTGCAGAGTATGGGAAAAAACCTCGTGGACTGCAGGAGAGGGAGGAGAGATGCCAGGACTGAGTGAGGGGGGGCGAAGCGGGGCGGCACCAGGGTCATGGAGGCAGGTTAGCAGGGAGATGGTGAGGGGAAAGGTCTGAGATCTGGGGCTCTGGGAACACCGTGCTGGATCAGGCCCTGGAGAGACAGTGGCATCTCCATCCATGGAGACTTTCCAAACCCGACTGGCAAAGCTGGAGCGACCTGCTCTAGCTTTGCCACCAGCCCTGTGTGGAGCTTGGTGTTGGACCAGAGTTCTCCCCAGAGCCTTCCAGCCCAAATCCACAAGGACTGGGCCAATGCCTTACCCGAGAAGAGCTGGGGCAGCACCTGGACCACTGAGGCCAGCTGCACGTGCTCCGCCATCAGCGCCCGCATCTGCTGGAGGCCCTGGAAGCGGTCTGCACTGTCGAACAGGGCCCAGCGCGCAGCCCCCAGGTCCTGACACACATTCTGCACCTCCTGGGCCGCCGACCGCAGCTGCTCCAGCCCTGCACTTACCCCCTCCAGGTAGGACTGGACAGTTGACTGGGGAGCAGAAGAGGATGGAGGGGCAGTGGAGAATCTCTCAAAGGTTGGAGGACTCATGCACCATTTACCCCAGCCTTGCCAGGTCTCTCTTGCATGAGCTCCCAGCCCCACAAGGTCACATATGCCTCTGCCATCGTATCTCCCAGACTTTCCGTGATGACCCCCATCCCATCAGACCCAAGCACACCCAGCTTCAAGAAACCCACTCCAGCAGCAGTAAAGATTCAGACCAATAATTATTTAAAATATCAACAGGCCTTAATTCTACCCATAAGAATCACTGATAAGATCAGCTTTATGTTTACTTAGATTTTTTTTTTTAGGAATGGCTCATTTCACCCTGCTCTGGGTAAACTGAGTCACAGAGACAACTTACAGGGGGAGGGAGGCAATGGCTGCTGTGCAGGAGGGGGGAAGAAGGGCATCGCTTTGGGGTGGCCAGTAACCAGATGTCTCAGTTTTAAAATACTACTTGGGTTCTGCAAAATATTTGCAGGCCACAGGGCTCCAACTGTGCTCCCCAAGGCACATTAATGGCATGAAGCACCTCAGTGGCCATAGGAACCCTCCTCCAAAATGGATTTCCATCTTTTCCAGCCCTGCAGCAGCACATCTCCATGCCTTGTCCACCCATTTAACTCCTGGCTCCTGGTGCCAAGAAGCACTTTTACCCAACGTCACCAGAAGCAAGGTGTTTTGTCTGAGGCCACATGACTTAAACCAAGTTGCTTTCTGGACAATTCACCCACATTCAGGGTAGGAGAAACCATCTCCGAAATAAACAGGAGAAGGTTGGAGCACTCAGACTGATCGGGTCCTGAGGTTAATCGTTCCTGGGGTTATGCAAAAAGGGTGGCCCTGAGCAGGGAGGTGTGCACGGGGACCGGAGATAGCCCTTACTGATGTGTGTAGAGGTGGAGGTCCTGCTGTGGGATCTGGAGGCAGGGGCAGGGGGGAGCTCTTTGCCTCCTCCCAGCCATGGGGAAGGGGAGCTTTGGCACTGGGATGGGACGGTGACAGGGAACGCTGACTTTTGCACATGGGATGTGCTGAACACCCTTGGTGGTTTGTTTTGAAGGACAGCTGGAGACACGGGCGACTCATTTTAACACTTCAGAAACTAACCAGGGGGAGGGCAGGGGGTGGTGGCGCGCTTTACTAGATCTTTTCCCCAAACAATTGCATTTCTCCCACCAAGCACCAGCCAAAGGACAAGATTTTGCCAGAAGTGAACACAAAGATGATTTAATGCAGAAGAGGGGACCTTGGCTGGGATCCCTGCTTGGGGAACCTGTGGGTGTCCGTGGCATGGGCTGTGACAAACACCCACCTTCAGCCGGGACTGGATGGAGTTGTTCCTCTGCGTCTCTCGGCTCCGGTACTGCCCGAGCCCCTCCAGTTTCTCAGGGCGGTAAAACACCCCTGAAGCCCATTTCAGGGCGGCTCCTCTTGCCAGCTTCTCAGCCTTCTCCGCTTCCGGCCACTCCTCATCTGGGGACAAAGCCAGGGGTTAACGAGCACAATAAAGCGAGGGGTTAATGAAGCCTCTCCTGGCAGGGCAGGAAGGGCCCCCGAGGCCAGAGGCAGGAAGCTGGCCACCAGCAGACGTCCAAGCACACCCAGATGTGGGAAGCCGGACAACACAGCAGCAAGCGAGCAGGCCGAGCGCACATCCCCATCATTCCCCCCAAACACAATGCTGGGTTGTCTGAGGAGGGTCTGATGGCACCTGGGAATCTCCCAGCAGGGCTGAGGCTTTGGCAGTGAGTCAGCAGGAGGGATGGAGAGATGGCAGCTCTGGCATGAAGGAGAGCCAGGCTGAGATGAGGACAGAGGGCTCCTGGTCTCCTAAAGGTACCCGTGCAGCTGGGGGGGACCACGGTGTCCCCCTTGTCACAGGGTGTGAAGCTGTGCCAGAGGTCCTCTGGACAGAGCAGAGGGCTGAGAACCAACAAGGTTATCACATGCCAGCCCCCATCCCCTGGCTTCATTGTTTCCCCCTGCTCCATCCCCAGCAACTTCCCAGCTTGGGGCTCTCTGCTGCCCCACGGGGATGTCACCCAGTGCCAAGCTGGGTTGCTGCTCTGCTGGGAAGCCTGCCTGCACGGCAGGGGACCGAGGGGCTTCGGGGGAGACCAGCATGGGGAAAAGATCCAGGAGTGGGAAGGCAGAGGGCGGGGGGAGCCCCCAAAGCGGTAGCATCCCTCCCCTGCCCAGCACCGCCGGCTCCCCGGGGTGGAGGGAACCGCATTGTCCCCGTTACCTCTGGGGCTGAGGGCGCGCTCCTCCTCCGCAGACATGCCCATGGTCTCCAGGCTGTGCGAGCGGCGGGG